AAAGTGTTCGGTGGTTTGCTTGATTCTCCCATTGGAAGATAACTTCAAACCCTCACTACTGTGCTGTCTGAAAGCTTCATTTCCGACCTAAGCTTATTCCTCCCCAGTTTTGACTTGTCTGAACTTGTGCAACAACGTATCTGGTAGCCTTAGGGCATAAAAAGAAATAGCTGGTGCTCCCCATGGTTGTGCTTTACTAAGATGACAGCTGACAAGCCCTAACATAAAGGGATTTAAAGGATGCTATGGAAAAAATCCTTTTCTCTGAAGTGTTGGCTAATGGGAGTATAAGGAACAGTTATGAAGTTTGTCTGGCTTGCAAACAGGGCTCTTGTTTGAGAGAAGAACTTTCTGGTTTGTTCTAAGCCAGAACAAATACAGTGCTCTTGCATCCTCTCCTGGGTTCTGCTCTCTTTTAGGTTATTGCTACTCAACCAGTTCCACGATGTCCTGCCAGGCAGCTGTATCCAGCTCGTGGTTGAGGATGCCCTGCAATACTACACAGGTGAGCAGAAGTTTGGCTAGGAGGGCACTTACTTGCCAGAGCACGCTGGGTCCTGCCTGGTGGGGCTGCAGTGGTTTCAGTCTTGGACTACCAGGGCAAGCCTGTGCAGATATGTGTCTGAAATAGTGTTAAATTAGCAGGGGAGCCAAGGGATTGAAAACCATCCCAATTTATTGACTTCTCTGCTTACTGTTGGCATGCCAGGGTAGACCTCCACGAAGGTTTGCTCCTGCCTGCTCATGGGTGCTTGCAGGAGCTTCGTTAACCAGAATTTTCCAGCTGAACTGGCATAGCTCGCTGTAATCTTGTAATAACAAAGTTAAGAATAATTATACACTTGAATTACTCACTAATAGATAATAATAATTAATGATAATTAGTAATTGTAGCTTGGCAGGCGATACAGTGTGTGTACATTGCACAGGAGCGCCAGAAGCTCTCTCAGATCCAACTTAGGCCCCTTTTGTTGTACAGAGATCCGCAGGATTGGTGCTGAGCTGCAGGAGGAGGCTGTGCAGTCCCTGTGCAGGGATCTGCTGCAGCCCAAGGCAGGGAGCACTGAAAGCACCCTTGTGTTGAACACTTTGCCCTGGGAACGCACCGAGGTGATCTCCAGGCCTGGGCCAGATGGAACAGAGACTTTGGGTATGTCTGACCTGGGATAACTCTTGTATCAGAATTTCTTACAGGGGCAGAGTCAGCTAACAAGGGAATACTCTGCCTCTCCCTGCCCTGGGGAGGGCTTTCCTGGCTTCCTTGGACAACTTGAAATGGAATAAAGTCCCCTGAAGTATGGAGGAAGAAGAGGAGGGTATGAGAGGAGGTAGTAGGTCTGATGTGAGAGCGCTAGGGCAGCACAGTGTGACTTAGGTTTCAGTCTGGGGCTGATGTTGGAATAGAACCTCTTTGCTTTCCAGCTCTCGTGACAGTCCCCAGCATGGGCTATGCTCTGGTGAGGGAGCCATTGCTGCCCTCTCAGCCTGTGTCAGTGAGGAAGCAGGTAAGCACAAGGCAGTTTTCTTTAGATCCATGTTCCCTGTGTCAAAGGTTGATTGGGGAGAAATCTAAGGAATCCAGCATCCTGCAAATCCACATAGCTCCTGCAGTTGTGGGTCTGTAACACCTGTTTCTGGCCTTTTCCCAAGGAGGATGGCTCCATTACCATGGAGAATGGGGTGATTGCTGTCTGCCTGGACATGATGGGACACCTGACCTCACTTCGGCTGCTGGACTCCGAGAGGTCTGTGTCACTCAGTCACTGGCCCTGGGCTCCTCAAACCTCTCCCAGGATGACTTCTCACTGTACACTCTTGTCCTTCTGATGCTGCTGTTTCTCTGTTCCGCTTTTTTTCAGAGAGGCAGTCCCAGAGGGCTGCTATGCAAACCAGTTTGCACTCTTTGATGATGTTCCCCTCTACTGGGATGCCTGGGATGTGATGGATTATCACTTGGAAACCAGGTAGAGGAGCAGTGCAGGCAGCACTTGTATTTTGGCTTTGCCCTAAGGTTCTTGCCTCCCTGTCAGTCCTAGATGTAAGAGAGCATTCAGTCTGGAGAAGTGAATGCCTCCTCTGTGGGAGGCTGGACTGGGATTTGGGAACCTGGATCTACTAGGCTGAGACAATCTCTGCCTTCATTCCTTTGTCTAGGAAGCCAGTGACCACGCTCCTGAAGCCTCTGGAAATCACCCTGGCTGGGGGCCTGCGGGGAAGTGTGAGCTTCTCCCTGCAGGTTGGGAAAAGCAGCACCTTAACCCAGGAGATCATCCTGGATGCCACGTGCCCGTACCTCCGCTTCCTGACCCAGGTTTGGCCCGTGGCTGCTGCATGATACCAACATCCTGTGTGGCAGGAATTACATTCCCCCTCCTGTTTTCTCCTCTGGAACTCCCCACTGCCTGTCCTCCTCTGCCTTAAGGGAGGGCAGCCTGAGGGTGGGGGGAGGTCCTGAGGGACAAGAAGAATTCATCCTGATTTTGAGACTCTGGTGTGGTTTTATTGTAGCTCATGTTGGCTGCGTGCAAGCCAGCTGCTGCACACCAGGGAAGGAAAAGTGCGGCTTCTGCCTGTCAGACCCCATGGTGATGCCCTTCTGCTCCCACATTTAGGTTGAGTGGAAGGAGGCTCACAAGTTCCTGAAGGTGGAGTTCCCTGTGCAGGTCCGGAGCACAAACGCCACCTACGAGATCCAGTTTGGACACGTGCAGCGGCCAACACACTGGAACACATCCTGGGACTGGGCTCGGTTCGAGGTGAGAGGGAAGGTGGTCTGGTCCCAGCACCGAGCTGCTCCTGCTCCTGGCAGTGGCTCTCTGTAGTGAGCCCATCCCTTGGTATCTGCTGCAGGTGTGGGCTCACAAGTGGATGGATCTCTCTGAGCACGGCTTCGGGGTGGCTCTGCTGAACGACTGCAAATACGGGGCATCAGCCCACAGGAACGTCCTCAGCCTCTCTCTGTGAGTTACAGGTGGATGAGGGGGGAGCTGCTGCAGGTACTTTGTCTTGTGAGGTGTCTCTTGGAAGTCAAGGCAACACCTGGTCCTAAATTACCTTAGTTAATAAATAGTCTGATGGGTGTCTGTTGTCTGAGAATTTGGCTGACTTGCATTATAACTAATTCAGGAGAGATCAGATTTTTCTCCTGCTGGCCAAAACATACCCCAGGAGGGAAGGCTTAATGAGAGGGAAGGAACAGCAGTGTTAATGTTACAAGTGCATACCAAGCTAAAAGAAACTGTATATTTCAGTTTGACTCTGTCAGCCCCAATTTTCACAGGAAGACACCCAAGCTTTTTAAGCTTCTGGGACTGTCCAGGGTCTGTTTGCTGTTGCACGTTTGCTTCCACCCCTGGGCTCAGCCTCAAGGTAGTGAGGGGAGCAGTTGTCACAGCGCTCCTCTGGCTCTACTCTGTGTGGCAGTGGGTGCTGCCGAGACACCAGTCTCACTAACATCTCGTTGCCTTAGGCTGAGAGCACCCAAGTCCCCTGATTCCACAGCAGACATCGGGCACCACCAGTTCACCTATGCTGTGATGCCTCACCGAGGTGAGTGACAGGCCCCCTAGGAACACGCAGGGTGGGGGATGCACCAGTGAGCCTTGGGGTGAGTGTGTCTCTGACTGTGCACGTGCCGAGGCGGGCTAGAGGTTCTTGTGATGCAGGTTCCTTCCAGGAGGCTGGTGTGATTCAGCGTGCCTACAGCTTGAATTTCCCCCTCCACACGGTCCTGGCCAGCTCTGCCCAGTGCCCAGCCTGGAGTGCCTTTTCTGTCAGCTCACCTGCCATCGTGCTGGAGACTGTCAAGCAGGCAGGTGCCGGGGCAGAGGTGGGGAGGGCAGAGGGGGTTAAGGTGCTGTTGTCGAGCATGGCTTGCTCTTTCCTCCACACTGAGTGGTGGTTAGGCTCAGCTGAGCAGAACAACTTGGGTTGGAGAGGCTGTGCCTGTCTCATTTGTCTGAACTCCCACCTGCACTGTCCCCCAAAGGCTGAGGGCAGACCTGAAGCCGTGGTGGTTCGGCTCTACGAGGCGTATGGCAGCACGGTTACTGCCTGGCTCCAGACCTCCCTCCCCGTTAAGGAGGCAATGCTGTAAGTCCATGATCCGTGCCAAAGGCCTGGGTGTGCATGGGGATGGAGATCAGTACCTTCAGCCTCATGTGCTTTCCTCCTCAGCTGCGACCTCCTGGAGCGGCCAGCTGCACAGGGCACCCTGCCCCTGGGGCAGCAGGGCTTGAAGCTCTCCTTCACACCTTTCTGCGTGCTCTCTGTCCTCTTGGTCTTGAGCCAGTGACACCATCCACTGCTCTGGCTGGTGCTGCAGCAACCTGGACCAACACTGTGAACTCAAATCACAGCCTGAGCCTTCCTCGATCCCAAGAGCTGTACAAGACAGCAGTTCCAGAGCAGGGCAGTGTCCCCGTGTCCCACACCCAGCCATCAGAGAGCAGCACTTGAGAACAACCACGTTCCTCAGGGAAGGAGGACAGTTGCCCACTGCCCAACCAGGGTATGTGGGCTTCAGTGCTGAGCTCGCTGAAGTGTGGATAAGGGTGTGGACAGGCTGGTGGCCCTGCATGGGCTCTGCTCCAGCCCCAGGGACTTGGGGAGCAGCAGCTTCCAGAGTGGCTCCTGTGTCTCAGCCTTCATCTTGTCTAGCAGTGACTATAAAAAACACTCTACTCCTTCCCCCTTTCCTCCACCTGCCCCTTGCACTGCCCTTGCAGATGGAGAACACAAATAAATAAGAGAATTACATCAAGCTCCAGCCTGTTTTCTTAACTTATTTCCAGGTAACTGCACTGACCTGCCTCCTCCCAGGTGCTTTGTTGTAGCTGCTGCTCCCTTAGTGTCTCCTTAGCACTACTCCTGGAACTGGGGAGGCAGAGCTTATCTTTACTTTAGGGGAGGTGAGGTGGAGGGAAAGCCTGCTACAGCCCCTTGGGGAAGAGGCTGGGCTCCGAGGGGTTATCCTTAGCATGAAAAGGCATGCACAGTGATTTCTACACAAAATATTTTATTATTTAGTCAGCTAAAAACAGTGAGTGGAGCAGCAGCCAGAAACGGAAGAGAGAACCCAGTTTTAGGCAGAGTTAGAGTCCAGCACAATGTAAGGTCTTGGCTCTTCTTCCCCTCTAATGCCTCTGGACAGCAGGAAAATACCCCACCACCAAGCCCAGCTTCTCCCTCACGCACTTGCAGGATGCAACAGTAGCAAAAGCAGCTGCGAGCACAGGTACAGAGAAGCTCCATTTCCCCCATCACTAACGCACGTCCCTGGCCAAGCCCTCCCTGAGCTTCTCCTGGGCCACTAAATGCCCCTCAGGAGGTGGGCAGTGGGCAGCACTCACATGACAGGGACTGCACCTGAAAAACAGAGAGGGAAACGAGGAGTCAGAGGGCGAGGGAGTGTCTGGCTCTGCCCCACTGGCTCCTCTCCTGCCATCTGGCACCCCTCAGTCCCTTCGATACAACTGAGCACTCCCACAGCCCCCACCCGTGCACCTGAAAGCCGCAGGGGCTGCAGCCTCACCTCTGCCCCTGCGTGCAGACATCCGGCGGCTTCTTCTGGGTTTGAGAAGCACCTCTGGCTGAGGCAAGGCTGGAGCAGGAGTCCCTCTCCTCCTCCGGCGAGCACGTCCCTTCCTTAGCCCATCAGCCTCCTCCTCCTTCTCCCCCTCCTCCTTCTCATCAGACTTTTGGGGGGTTGCTGCAGCCCTGGGGCGCCTTTTCAAGGCGGGTGAGGTGACCTGGGTGGACATCAGAGCTGCGGCTTAGCAGCAGAAGCGTGCTTGGAGCACCACAGAGGGTGAGAAGCTCCATATGGGATCACCACCATGAATTCAGGAGCAGCCTGAGCAAGGTTAAGGGGAACAGGACAGCCAGACACAACCACAAAGCTGCTTTACCTTAGGGGTCAGTGCCTCAGGGTCTGCCTTCAGCTGAGCGCGCTTTTTGCGGGGCATCTTCTGGTGCTTCTGCCCTGCATGAGAGGACATGCCCAGGTCAGGGGGAGTGAGGGACACGCTTGCAGGGATGCTGTCCTGGGTGATGTGAGCTGAGCACTGAGGAACTGCAGGGTGAAAAACCATCCTGCCAGCGCAACAGCTGTGCCCAGGCAGGTTGGGATGCTGGTAGGAAGCCCCGGGGAAAATGGGCTCTGTCCCCTGGTGCCAACGGCTGTCTCAGGCCTGTCAGCACCCCAGGGAGAGGGGCTTTGCTCCTGCCTGTGCCCTTGTGCTATACAGAAAAGACAGGGCTGCTCAGTGTCCAGCCCTCCCAGAGCAAGAGTGGGTCCCACGGGCGGGAGAGAGGACACTCACCTGTGGGAGCCATGGGACCAGGCTCTCCCTGCAAGGAAGGGACAGAGCTTTGACTGGGGTGCAGTCATTCTGCAGGTAGCAGCAGCAGAATCCCTGCCCCTTCTCCCTCTCACAGTGATAGGGAAAGAGCCACATTTCTCTGGGAAGCCAGGAGAGTCAGGCTTGCTCTGCCTGCCCTGTGCACTGGGGACTCTCCTGTCAGTCCTGTTCCTGCAAGGCCACAGACACAGGGTACAGGAGGGAGGAACAGGGCTCCAGACCTCATTCCCTCCATCTGCTCCAGACTGCCCACCATCCCTTGGCCAGCTGGCCACCACACAGACGGTCCTTGTCACCTCCATGCCCAGCAGCTTGGTGGAGAGGGAGATCTCCAGCCACACAGTGTAATGCTTGGGAGTCTCAGCAAGCAGAAAATGGGCTGGAGGGGTGGTTTGGGGGCCCCCAGCTCCAGGGAGTGACCCCAGGCACCTACCTGGAACCATATGGTCCTGCCGTTGCGGTCACGCAGGGAGCTCATGCCAGGCACCAAGTAACACTGCAGCCAGTTCTTGAAGGTAGCATAGTTATCCGAGTGCTCGGGGTCCAAAAGGTGCTTCTCTGGGAAGGGAGAGAGAGAAAGGACAGAATCAGAGCAGAAGCCACGATCATGGTGTCAGGATGCCCTCCCAAACCTCCTGATGCCGGGAATGCAAAGCCCCAGCCTCCCCCAGCTGTCCCTGTTCCCCAGCATCCTGTCCTGTCGCCTCACCTGCCGTGATGACCTCCATGGGCACGGTGTGGCACAGCTCCAGGAGATCCGGGTTCTTCTGCATCAGCTTCACCTTCTTGCTCAGTGTCAGGGAAGGATCCTGCAAGGGTGGAGAAGGGGAGGAAAGTCACCTGCCAGCTACTTCTGCCTCCTCGGGGTCTCTCCTCCCCAACAGCACCCAAATTCTTTGTCTTCTGCCCTCCTGAGGATGAGTTGCCACACTCTCATGCCAGCCCTGAGCTCACCCCACTGTGGGCTTCCAACTTAGCTACAAAGACATGAAAGAGGGCTAACACACACAAACAGCAGCAGTTTTAAAAACACCCCTCAGGTCATGTAGTGTGTTTTCAGGCTTCTTTAAAATAGTCACTTTAGAAGGCCACAAGAACAGCCTTGGGCTCTACTACAGCCTTCTTGGAGATTTTAAGCTTGCAAGGTCTTTGTTTCCCTCATCTCTTCCTCTTCACCCACCCCAAAAATATTTATAGACTTCTTGAAGGCAGAAGCTGGGCACAGCTCGTCCTGCAGGGCCACAGGCAACCAAACCCCTGGTACAACATCTGCCACCTTCTGAGCCTGTGAAAGCACCTGGTATTCCTCACCTTCTTCCTCCTCTCCTGCTTCTGATCCTTCAGGGCCTCCAGCACAGTCCGAGCCTTTTCAAAGGGAGGGATCTTCAACCTGAAAGAGTTACACACAAGCCTGAACCCTTGGCTCTGGTACTGTCTGCATCTCCCAGGTGATGAGGTACAGCCAGCTTAGCCAAAGAGCCATCGAGCTCCAGCAAACTCTTGGAGACCAAACCTCCATGGCAGGTCAGCGGATGCTCAACCCACTTTACCTGTACAGGATCTCAGCACGCAGGTAATTCCCAATTCCATTGAAATACTTCTGGTTTAAGAGGGCTTCGCAGATGGGCTTGTCAAAAGCCTTGTCATCCAGATTCCTCAGCACGTTCTCCCTGCAGCAGAGCACGGGGCAAAAAGAAAGTCACCTGGGCACGTCTGTGCAGGAAAAGCAGCCAAACCCAACCAGGGGGCATTCCTCCAGGGCGCTCACCTGAAAGCCTGGTACTCGGAGACGACGCAGGGCCCGCGTTCCTGCTGCCAGGCGTCCCCCAGGCGCCAGGACCCGAACCGGCGGGCGTCCACGAAGCAGAGGGCCCGCGGGGGGCTCTCCCGGGTGAGGAAGCGGAGGTGGGCATGGCGGGGCAGCTCGGCGGCTGGGCACAGCCGGAACGACCCCGACATGCCGAAACGAAACACGAGGTCCTGCGGCGGGGGGGCGGCGGCGGCGGCAGGGTCCAGCGCGCTCAGCGTCAGCCGCAGCTCCTTGCCCCGGGCAAGGGCCGAGATGCGGTAGGCCTCGCTGCGGAACGGCACCTCGGGGCCGCGGCCCACTGCCGAGCGCTCCACGCCGCCCGCGAACACCAGCCCGCCGCACACGCCGTTGATGAAGCAGCCGGCGAGGTGCAGCTCCGGGCACTCGGGCATCGCCGCCACCGCGCCGCGGAGCCGCCACCGCGCAGCCGCCCGCCGCTCCGACTGCGCCTGCCCGCCCCCATTGGCTGCGCGGTGGGCGCTCCCATTGGCTGCGCGGTGGGCGTTCCCATTGGCTGCGCGGCAGGCGGCACGCGCTCCTATTGGCTGCGCGGCGGGCGCCGCGCGCTCCCATTGGCTGCGCGGTGATGCCGGAGCTTGTAGTCCTGCCGGGCGGCCCCGCCGCGGGGAGACACAGAACGACACGGCTCGGCTTTGTCACCCGGACTTTATTGAAGCTACCTCGAGCGTCCCCAGAAGCCAGGAGAGGAGGGAAATATCCCCCTTCCCAACCAGAAGCACCAGATCCGACCCAGCAACTCGGTGTCCGCGACTCCCACCATGGGAGGCTGGCTCCTCAGAGAAGGGTGTTCATCAGGGTCTGGGCTTGCTTCAGCTCTGCAGAGAGAGGATGGAGCTGTGGGGGAGCCGCTACATCCCCAGCAGCATCCCTCCCAGCATCCCCCATAGCCCTGGAGGTCCTCGCTGTCACCCATCCTCCAGCCTCACCTGCCAGCAGCACCCGGAACTTGTCAGCCGAGAGGGTCAGGGAGACAGCCGTAGTTCTAGGGCACTCCCTGTTCTGCACGTTGAATGTCAAATGCACCAGGGGCTCGTTGACCTCCTGCAGCTCGCTGGAGCTGAGGGTGTAATCCACCCGCCAGCGCACCAGGCCAAGCTGGCTCACTGGGGTGGGTAGTGGGGGTGGTGTCAGCACCCTGGCTCACTCCAGCAGGGTGACTGCCACCAACACACAAAACCCTGTTAAGACCCAACCATCCCACTCACATCGCAGGCTACAGGCCCTGAGGCTGTCCTGGAGAGAGCTCTGCTTCTCCTCGTAGGAACGACACAACCCGCTGGCATGCTCTGCTCGTGTGGAGAGACAAGACAAGAACCCTCCTGCTCACACCAGCCCTGCAGTTACCAAACCCCACCAAAGCACCTGAGGAGCCCCCGGGGATGGATGGCACAGCAGGGAGGTGATGGAGGACAGTACAGTTTCCAGCCTGCCCTGCATCTGAGCGTGAAGAAGGCAGCGCTGGGAACTGTGTTGGGCACATCCCACCAGGTCTGGCCCACGGTGCCACCCTGAGGGTCCCCCCTACCTTTGGGCAGCCCCAGCTGCTGCAGCTCACTTGACAGGGACTCGCTGTCTACATTGTGCTTGGCTGCACTGGAGAGAATGAAGCCGAGGACAGCGATGGTCGCCTTCACGTCCCCTGACTCTGCGGATGGGATGGAGGGTGAGCTCTGCCACCGTGGGAAGGCAACTCCAACCAAATCGCTGCTCAGCCCCAGAGTGGGGCTCCATGGGGGGATCCCAGTAAGGACAGCAGTGCTCACCTAACTTTGCGTCCGAGGTCAGCTTCAGGATCTTCTCATACTGCAGGAGAGCAGAGCATCACAGTAAACACCAGGTAACACACTCACTACCAACATTAATACTAATAATTCTTACCTTAATACTAATAACATTTAATATGCATAGTATTGCTACTAGCAGTGGCTGGTAGCATTCTTATTGCAGAGGCTGCATGAAGAATATGATATTAATTAATATTGCTCATTATGCCACTGCAGTGTTGAAACACTTGGCCTCCACCGCGGTAGCCCCGCACTCACCTCCATGGGCTCCCCCAGGAGGTCCCGCAGCACCTGGGCGCAGATCAGCTTCAGCTTCACCGAGGACTGCGGGGAATAAGGAGGGTGAGCAGCGGGCCCGGGGCGGGGAGGGGGCGGGCAGGGGAACGCGGGGGGCGCGGGCACTTAACGATTTTAGCCAGGGTGCTGATCTCGGCCAGCACCCAGTCGGGGCAGTCCAGGTCCCCGCAGAAGCGGAACCGCTGCGGGGGGAGAGGCGGTCAGAGCCCACCGCGGGGCCGCTGCGCACCCCCCCCCCCCGTCCCCGCCGACCCCCGCCCCACCATGTCGCCGCCGTTCCGCGGTCCCCGGTGCCTCCGCAGATCCCGCCTTCCCGACCCGGAACCGCTCCCGGGCCGGAGCCCGCTCCGCCCTTCCCCGCCCCTGCCCCGGGTGCCCGCGGGGGCTCCGCCGGTGGCTCCGCCAGTGGCTCCGCGGGGGCCTTGGGGCGGGGACCCCGAGAGCGCGGCGAGACCCCGGGGCGGGGCAGGGCACGGAGCTCCCGGGAACGGGACCCGAGGCGGCGGTGGATCCGCGGGAGGGGCCCCTTTGACACGCCCCGACCGCGGGAGCACCTCCCGCTCCCCACGGCCGCATCCCCGCTCAGTGGTGGGGTTCAGTTTTTGGATCCTGACTCCGTGAGACTGAAGGTTGTGATGGTTCCGTAGGGTTGAGAAGGAAAGTACAGACACGAGGGATGTGGTGCAGTTCAATGGGTGCAGCTGAAGGTGGAGCCAGCAACAGCTTTCTCATCTGACGCTTTTCTGAGAGTTGTTTTTGCCAGGTGTTTGCATTTTTTGTTGCTGTCTTCTGCAAAAGTGAAAAAATATATTAGCACATATAATTGGGAAGGAGTGCGTGTTGCCACTTGAGCGTGGTGCAAATAAAAGTTCGCACCTGAACGGGGAAGGTCATTTTTCTTTACGAGAGGTGGATGGACCTTTCAGACTCCATGGGTCCGAAAAGTGCACAATGCTGCATATAGCGGAGATGGAAGTTGTGTGCAGTTTTCAGGCTGCAAGGAAAACCGAATGCCACTTGATTGTTGTGCAAATACAAGCCTGCAAATGGAAGGGACGGTCAGCGAAGTCTTTCTGATTTCTGGCACGATTTCTTTGAGAGCGGTAGAGGACGTTTTGAACTTTGGATCTTCGCATTCGTTGGTTTTGAGGTAAACCATGGTCCATTTTACGCCTTTTTTGCGTACACGGGGCCATCTAGTGGACATTCCCCCCGTATCGCCGTTTAAGAGCTCCTGTAGATGGCCCTGTGTACGCACAAACCAGCCCAAAGTGCTGCTCCAAAGGTGAAAACGTCCCCTCACTGGTCTCTGACTAAATGTGTCAGGACAAAAAAGGTTTTGGCTGACCTTCCCCGTTCATGTGCAAACTCTTATTTGCACCACGCTCAAGTGGCAACACGCACTCCTTCCCAATTATGTGTGCTAATACATTTTTTCACTCTCTCAGAATCCTGCAACAAAAATCAAAAATGTCCAGCAAAAACATAACTCACAAAAATGCTAGGAGAGAAAGCTCTTACTGGCTCCACCTTCAACTGCACCCACTGAACTGCACCTCACACGCCAGTATCTGCACCTTCTATGTACCCTTATAATCCTTCAGTCTCACAGAGTCAGGATCCAAAACTGAACCCCACCACTAAGTGCTCAGACACTAAAAGGACCAGGACAAAAAGCCCAACAGCTTGGCTTTTACATTCCCATTCTAGAGGTTCAAGAGCTCTAACTGGTAGCCCTGTATATTAGGAAAAGCAATTAAATTCACTAAGCCCACCAAGTGTGTGGATCCAAAAATCATTTCCATGCCACAGAGAGCAACTAAGACCCCACATCTCAGAAGAAATGTGACCCCCCCACCTCAAAATAGAAACCATCCATTTACTGATCCCATATGAAGGTACCAGAACACCATTACTGGACATTACCTCCCCAATGCACTATATCATCTATACATCAAGACTGGCAATAGCTTTATGTGGCCCAAAATAAAAGGACTGCCAAATATTACAGAGATCACCTCTGAAATGTGGAGACAACCTGACGTTGTGAGGTTGCTCCCACACAAAAGATGCCAGACAGAAAACCTGTGGCTGTCTCTTTGATTCCCTGGACACCCAATTATTATTGCAGGACGATGTCCTTTCATTCTTAAGGAAGAACACTGTTATCCTTTTTCAGAAGGTTAGTTCCCAAAATTTGATACCAGCTCCATAATGGCAAATATCAGGGGATTGCTCCCACACAAAATGTGCTAGGACAACAAGCTGCTCCTGGCTGCTGCAGCCTATCATCTGCCCCTGAAGCATTGAGCCTACCTGCCTTCCTCCCCAACCTTGCCTTTTTTTGCTATGCCTGACTATCCCTCGCACTGCATTGCCTTGCCTACCCTTCCCTTGCCTGGCTTTGAATAGCCTATACCTCCCTTACCTCGCCTTTCATTGCCAACCTCCCACTTGCCTTGCCTTCCAGACCCATCTCTTGCCTTGCCTACAAATCCCTTGCATTGCCTTGCCCTCACTACCCCTCCCTTGGCTTGCATTGCCTTGCACACCAATCTATTCCTTGACTTGCCTACTCCTTTCTTGCCTGGCCTTGCCTTGTCTTCTTCTCCTCTGACTTGCATTGCCTTGCCTTACCGACTGCTCCGTGTCCTTCCCACCCCTCCTTCACCTCACCTTACCTTGCCTACCCCTCTCTTGCCTTGCCTTTCATTGCCTACTTCTCACCTACCTTGCCTTGCCCTGACTACCACTCCTTTGCTTGCATTGCTTTGCACACCTATCCCCTTCCTTCACTTGCCTGCCCCTTTCTTTCCTGGCCTTGCCTTGCCTTGGTTACACCTCCCTCCCCCTGCCTTGCCCACTCATCTCTCCACTTGACTTGCCTTCTTCTCTCCTGCCTTGTTTACCCATCCTACTGCTTCCTGGCCTTCCCTTACCCACCACTCCCTTCCCTTTTCTTGCCTTCCCCTCACTGGTCTTGCTTTGCCTTGCCTACCCCTCCCTTACCTTGCTGTGAGGAGGGAGGGCTTGAAAGCGGAAGATCTGACGAGGAGGTGTTTTTCTTTAGCTGTTTTCGCTCAAGATAAGTTTGCAGCTGCAGATGCTAAGAATATTGTTTCAGTGTGGGAATTTTCGCACTCTGTTTCCTTTGGGTTGTTTTCTGTCTGTTGAGAGAAATGTAATTCTCTCAAGGAAGATAACAGAGTGTTGTTACGAACTCAGCATTCTTTCCTGCAGGCTTTGGGGGAAGGAATACAAGAGAGAAAGTGTTGAACTGTAAAAACAGC